AATATATACAGTACTATAACCTTTATAGATATTTGTTAGATATTTGTTACCTTCAACTTTTTATTGCTCAGCGAACTGAAACTTGACGATTTAGTGGTTTAACATTCATACAACGCCTATTTTCTTATATTTCTTGTATAAACTTCATTGGGTGAAACGTAATATAGAAGTTGTTGGATTCAAGTAGATTCAAATGATATTATTAAAGTTTGGTATGAATACTTTAAAGCTTGCTTAGTATATTTTACGTTTCATTTTAAAAATAGGTTGCGCAAGCTTCTCAAAAAGTACAAAAATCGCGCAAAAAAATTTTTTTATCAACTGTGATTGGTTGATAATCATGTGATATTGAATTTGATTGGTTGGGAAGATTTCGGAAGTGATCTGCATTTCGTGTAACCTTGACGGTCGCTCCTGTTATTTTACTATTCAGGTGAGACCATCCCAAATATGGAAATCATCACCTGAGTCACCCGATTATTACACAACTTATAAAATTTTTTTTTTTATATGTTTTACAGTACTATATCCCGACCTATGAAATTTGAGAATTTTGATAAATGAATACGTATTAAAATTTTAATTAATAAATTAAAAAAAATTCAAGATATTAAAATTTCGGGCACACTATACGTAGCAATTTAGTAATTTATTTAATATATATAATGCAGTGTAGTATTTGGTAATGTAGTAATGCTATGGTAATATTGCGACAGTTTTTTTAACCAACAATAATTTAAAAATTAAGATATTAGTGTCAATTTAGTAATTTACTTAATGTATATAATATATAATGCAGCATATGTAGTATTTGGTAATGTAGTAATGCTATGATAATATTGCAATGACTTTTGACCAACAAATAATTTAATAAAAAATAATTACAATTTAATTTTTTGTTTAATGTTAATATTTATTAAATTAAAAAAAAAATTACAGCTTAAAAAATAAATTTTTTGCATTTTTTAATAAACTCTCCATTTTTTCTGTATCGTCAATTGCTGTTTCAGCATTATTCAAATCATCCTTAATTATGCCTTCAGAATCATTTTCAACAAATTCGTTTTCGCCCAACTTTTTCTTCATACTTACCCATAATGCATCAACATTTTTTGTAACTTCACCCCGAAGATAATCAAGACAAATCAAGCACTTAGCATGGTATTTTTCTAAACAATAATCGTGGTAACCATGCCCACACGCAAGAACTTTTTCACTATTCGAATAGCTAGTATAAATGGTGTGGTCGCAATGCAAATAATCACATAAGACAGTTGTAAAAGGCTTCTTAGAAGTAACAAAACTCCGTGGAAGGTGATGATCCGATATTTTGTAATTTAAAGAAGGCAACTTATACACGTTAATATTATCTGACGAACTAATAACTGGAGTATGCAAATAGCATCTTTGATATATCTTCGTAAACATGTTTAGGAGTGATATGGCACACTTTCTATAAAGCGTGTGCAATTGCTTGAAAGAATATAGATATTTAATTGAATTCACAAAATATTCTCGAAAAGCATTTTCTCCTCGATGCTGGAAGATAAAACGTGCCTTCCTTTGCAATTGATTCGCCTCAAGAAACTTAGACATACGTCGTCGAATTATACTGTAGACAAGTTCTACAGAACAATTGCTTAATGAAGAAAGATTATTAGTAATCATATCAATTATAGGATGATTTATCTCCATCCAGTAAAAAACATCAGAAAAAACATTAAAGGTGCATGTTTATAATTCCTTTGGTCAAATTGAAGGAAAAGATCACTTCAGCACCGCATACAAGCCTCTTCGTAAGCCAGCCAGTTACCTTCTCGATGGTGTACTGCGTAAACTTCGAGAACTAAAGGGATTAAATTACTCAACAAATTGGTTAGATATAAGAATTCTATATTCTTACAAGTACAATTAAATTTTGAATAAACTATATCAGCTATATCAAGCTATGCTATGTTTATAATATGAAGAATTAAATCGATATGCCATGGCTGTGGCTTCTTATCAAGTTCCTTTTTCTTCCCAAATATATCTTTGTAAATATCATTAAATATATCCGAATTTTTTACAAAAACAAGCTCATGATCATTTAAAGAAACGTGGAGAGGCCCCATCATAAATAAAAAAGATGTGACACATGAAGGGATTATTTCATTGTTAAGAAGAAGCCGATGTGCAATAGCTTTGTGAATAAAAAATTGCCCGAGCCAGTTCACAACAATTGGAACTACGTTATTAGAAAGATATTCTTGTATCGGCTTCTGATTATATACGATTTAGAGAGCTTTCGTATAATCCTCAACACCTTTCAAGCTGCTTTCGACGAAATCAAAAAGAATGGCATCCTGTATATGCCTATTACCCTTCTTTTTTTCTTCCAATCTGTCATCATAGCTATGCAATGTTAGTCTTTCAATAAGACTATCCTCAGAACACTTACCTATAAATTTTTTTCTACAATTATGATATGAATCTCCAAGGTTTACAATAAATTGTTCGTTGAGATGCTTTAGAATTAACTCATCATCAACAACTTTTGAGTTGACTGCCCCATTAAGTGATAAAGCCGATATGGGGCATGGATTCACGATAATTGTTGCCATGTATGCTGCTCAAGATATGCTGGTAGTGTCGGGTTGTCGTGGAATATAGATATTATGATAATCGTCGATATTCACTACGAAAGCATTTTTTGAACAATCTTCAAGAGTTTTCTCTACATAATCTCCATATGCCTCTGAAATTTGTTTTTTTTTATAATCTACTGCCTTTGCAGTCATAGTTATTCCAATGTTGGCTAATGTATTAAGACCTTCATTACTTGTATCTACTGAATCGAAATAATATGCCAAATCAAACTTAAAAGAATTAATTTTGGAATTATTTAACGATGCAAGAAGATAGCATAAAAAAACCATTAATCTTTTCATACAGCCCATTGTTTTCTCATAACGTTTAAAAGGCTGAGCTATTAAATGGAGTTGGTCGAAAAAATCCTTGAGGCTTGGGTCGATTTGTGGAAGTAGCTCTCGTATTTCATCAAACGAATATATAGAGCCTTCTTTCCGCGTATGTTCTCTCTCATAAAAAATTCGTGCCATAGACCTAATAACTCAAATGAGGTTAATCATACTTACCTCCTCCTCGTCTATGGCCTCTACATCCTCTCTTATTGTAGATTCTACGCCTTTGGTAATTTTAGCTTCTATTTCTTTTCTAATTATATCTTCTATATTTACTTCATCATCATCTTCAACTATGTCTTCTATTAAATCTTCTAATTCTTCAACTATGTCTATATTTTCAACTAAATCTTCTATTTCTTCAGCTACGTCTTCCACTTCTTCAACTACATCTTCCACTTCTCCAATTGTATTTTCTATTTCAACTTCTTCATCTTCAACTAAATCAGCTTCAACTTCTTCAACCGAGATTTTTACCCGCTTAGCTTTTCTTAATTCATTCTGCACTAAATTCATGTAACAACTATGGCATAAGTGATCATCTTTTTCCCAAGTTGCCTTTATTAAACCATAAGTTTTGGCTTCTTCCCATTTTTTTCCTGTTAACGAACGAAATCTATGCGATTTAGTGGTTTCACATTCCATACACTTAGACATTTTTTTGTTAAGTAACTTGCAATATAAGATCAACTGAATCTACTTGAATCCACCAATATTGTGAAAATATAATGCGAAAGCTTTAAGTTCGCTTAGTACATTCAGTCACGTTTCATAAAAAGGTTAGATTACCTGAAGCCCCTAAAAAAGTACTGTAAAACGTATCTTTCTAAAAATCACAAATTTGATTGGCCTGGGTTTTTGAATAGAAGTATTGTAAAACGTATAAAAAAAAAATATGCAACATCCGGGTGACTCAGATAATTATTTCCTAATTTAGGACTGTCTCACCTGGAATTTTATCATACAGGAGGGACTATCCAAATAAGGAAATAATGATCCTGATCATGCATATTGGTTTAGCCAATCAAAACAGTAAATTTTTATCATGTGAAAGATATCACATGTTGATTAGCCAATAAAATCATTAACTTTTTATAAAATAAAAAAAACCGAAATTAAAGAAATTTTAATTAAAATTTTGATAAAGCTCAAAATAAATACCACCCGATATTGTCATTAGGTAAGTAAATACGTATCTATTAATTTAATTCAAAAATATTAATTTTTCAATAATAATTACAGAAGGGTGTGGTGACTTAGTGAAGTTGGCAAGTTGTTACAACCCCAAGCAGCAGGACTAGAGTTTGAATCCCACTAGCAATGAAAATTCGAATTATAGAAAATGCATTTGGAAAACTGTATCCTATTGGATTGTAGAACCTGTAATAGTGGTCGTACCTCATAGGCAGAAATTTGTCTGATTGGCTAGCTTTGTAGATCAATTTGTAGATCTACATGTGATTATTAGCCAATCAA